AGAAGGTCTTCAAGCAATTTCAGTAGGTTTTCAAGTCAGTTCAGCCCTTTCAGGCCCTGTTCAGTCGGTTTTAGACTAGTTCAGGCAATTTTAGGCTGGTTTCGTTTGTTTTATTTTCGGTTCAGTGGTCTAGTGGATTACTCTAGTTCGGTTCAGCAGTCTAGTGGACTCCTTTGGTCCGGTTCAGCGGTTTAGTGGACTTCTTTGGTTCGGTTCGGTTACGTTCAACAATGCAGTAGGTGATTCTTGTCCGGTTCAGTGATCTACTGATTTTCTTTTTCCATTTGCTACACTTATGGAACCCAAACATGACACTGGGTTGGTTGCTATTACATGAGAGGAGTATGCTAAGTTCTTGTCCCAGCAACAGGCTATCCCATCTTCCTCCACTGCTACTTTTGCCCAGTCAGGTAATTCTTCCACTTGTTTATTGTCCTCCACTCGTAGTCCGTAGATCATAGATTCAGGCGCTTCTGACCACATGACTGGTGCGTCTGATGTTTTTTCTACTTATCAGGCTACTACTTCCGCACATCGTGTTACTCTTGCTAGTGGTACTTATTCTAAAGTTTCAAGTCTGGGAACTACTTACTTGAGTCCTGATATGTCTCTATCTTCTATGTTATTTGTTCCTCAATTTTCTTTTAGTTTACTTTCCATTAGCAAGATTACCCATTCTCTCAATTATTCTGTAACCTTTTATCCCTCTTATTGTGTCTTTTAGGATCTCAAGACAAAGAGGAAGATTGGTACAGGGCATGAAGCCGGTGGTTTATATTACTTTGACTTTAATTCACCTACCCGGGCTCTACAAACCTCATTTTCTCCTTTTCAATGGCATTGTCATCTTGGACATCCCTCTCCCTAGAATCTGAAGCGTCAAGTTCCTAGTCTTAGTTATTTGTCATCTTTGTCTTGTGAAGCTTATCAACTTAGTAAGCATCACCGTGTGTCATTTCAATTTAGAGTCCATAATCATGTGTCTAGTCCATTTGAGTTAGTACATTCTGATGTATGGGGTCCAATAAGGAATATTTCATCTAATAAATATCCTTATTTTGTGACATTTGTAGATGACTATTCTCGTGTGACTTGGTTATTTTTGATGAAAGTTCGGTCTGAATTATTCTCTATATTTGAGACCTTTCGTAAGGAAATAAAAACTCAATATGGTTGTCGTATACGTACTTTACATTCCGATAATGCTCGAAAATATAAATCTGATTCTTTTTAAGCTTATCTTAGTAAAACTGACATTATTCATTAGACTTCTTGTGCTTATACCTCTCCCCAGAATGGCGTTGCTGAATGCAAGAACTGTCATTTGTTGGAAGTCACCCGTGCCTTGTTATTCCAGATGAATATTCCCAAATATTTTTGGAGTAATGCTGTTTTTACTACTTGCCATCTTATTAATCGTATGCCATCCGCTGTGTTAGATGGGCAAAGTCCATATTCTGTCATTTTTTCTGGTAAGCCCTTATTTTCCCTAATTCCTAAGGTTTTTGGATGTGTCTGTTATGTTCATAATTTAGGTCCTGGGTTTGACAAACTTGACCCTCGAGCTACCAAATGTGTATTTCTTGGTTACTTCCGCACGCAGAAAGGGTATCATTGCTACAGTCCTTCTCTGCACCGATACTTTACCAGTGCCGATATCACGTTTGAAGAATCTGTTCCATACTTTCCAGCACCTTCTCAGCCTTTGGATCTAGACTTTGGATCATCTCCTATACCACCATATTCAGATATTTCGCTGTCCACTGTGTTCCCATCTACTTTACCTCTCCATGTCTATTCTCGTCGTCCTAGTCCATTGACTAAGGTGCCCGTACCGTCTTCCTTACCGCCTTCTGATCCTGGTACATCAAGTAATTTAGACTCTTTACCTATTGCTCTCCACAAAGGTACTCGTTCGTGTGTTACTAATCATCCCATTTCTCATTTTGTTTCATATGATGCCTTGTCTCCTATCTTCTCTTGATTTACTTTCCAATTATCTACTATATCTATTCCTATGTATTTACAGGATGCATTATTTGATCCGAGTTGGAGGAAAGCTATGGAGGGGGAGATGGATGCTTTACATCATAATGGGACTTGGGATCTCGTTCCTTTACCCCCTCATAAACGAACTGTTGGCTGTCATTGGGTGTATACTGTTAAATTTCATCCAGATGGTTCTGTGGAGCGTCTCAAAGCCCGACTTGTTGCAAAGGGCTTTACTCAAACTTATGATCTTGATTATGAGGAGAATTTCTCTCCTGTTGCCAAAATTTCCTTTGTTCGTATCTTGATTTCTTTAGCTGCTAATCCTGATTGGCCCTTGTTTAGACGTCAAGAATGTCTTCCTACATGGTGACTTGGTTGAAGAGGTATAGATGGAGCAGCCACCTAGGTTTACTGCTCAGGGGGGTATGGTAAGAGTGTATGTCGGTTAAAAAAATCTTTGTATGGTTTGAAGCAGTCACCGAGAGCATGGTTTGGTAAGTTTTCAGATGCAGTTTTAAAGTTTGGTCTTCTTCAATGTTAGACAGATCAATCAATGTTTCATAGATAGACAGATGTTGGATATGTCCTATTAGTGGTCTATGTAGATGATATTGTGATTACTGGAAATGATTCTTAGGGGATTGCCAGGTTAAAAATATTCTTACAGTATCGATTTCATACTAAGGATTTGGAAAAACTCAGGTCTTTCCTTGGGTATTGAGGTGGCTCGATCTAAACAGGGTATTAGTTTATCCCATAGGAAATATGTACTTGACATGCTTGAGGAAACAGGTTTGCTGGGTGGTAGACCGATTAATGTTCCTATGGATCCGAATCAAAGATTATTGATGGATGATGGTGCATTGTTTGAGAATCCGGATCGATTTCGCAGATTAGTTGGGAAGCTTAATTATCTCACTATTACTCGACTAGATATTTCCTATGCAGTCAGAATAGTAAGTCAGTTTATGGGATGTCCTAGAGTACCACATTCGGAGGCAGTTACTCGTATTCTGCGATATCTCAAACGAGCTCCTGGATTTTTACTATTATATCGAGCTAATGGACATCTTAGAGTGGAAGGTTTCTTTGATGCTGATAGGGCTGGCTCTCCTTCTGATCGGAGATCAACCACTGGTTATTGTACTTTTTTAGGAGGTAATGTTGTCTCATGGAAAAGTAAGAAACAACCCGTGGCAGCAAGATCTAGTGCTAAGGCTGAGTATAGGGCAATGACACATATGACGAGTGAGTTGACTTGACTACTACACTTCCTCTAGGAAATTGGGTTTCCAGTTCAACTTCCTTTACAGTTGTTCTGTGTCAACCAGATAGATATCCATATCGCTGCCAATCCTGTGTTTCATGAGAAAACCAAACATATTTAGGTTGATTGTTACTTTGTTTGGGATAAGATAGTAGCTGGGCAGATTACAACTCCATTTGTAAAATCTGAAGATCAGCTTGCAGATATATTTACCAAAGCATTGAGTCGTACACGTCTTATAGATATTTGTTCCAAGCTTGGATTATATGATATATATAGTCTAGCTTGAGGGGGAGTGTTAAGAATAGTAGGGTAGTATGTGTAAATTTTTAATAGAAAGAGGGTGTATGTATAATTCTTATTATTGTAGGTTAACTATAAATACAAGTGATGTATGAGAGCTAGGTTAAGTTCTAACCTCTCTCTGTTTCTCCCTAAATATTGTCTCTAATATTATATTAATCTTCCAAACTTAACAACCATGAAATGACATTTTTTGCAATTTAATACAAGGTTTTTTCCTTCACATCGAATGAGCACTTTGTCCAGACTTTCTAGACATATATGAAATGAATCCCCATATACTGAAAAATCGTCCATAAAGACTTCTAGATATCATTCTACCATATCACTGAATATACTTAACATACAGTGTTGGAAAGTAGTTGGAGCATTACATAATCCAAAAGACATTCTTTTATATGCAAAAGTGCCTAAAGGACATGTAAATGTAGTTTTTTCTTGATCATCTATCGCAATTTTAATCTGATTATATCCAGAATATCCATCAAGAAAATAGTAATATGCATGACCAGCTATTCTTTCTAAGACTTGATCAAGAAAAGACAATGGAAAGTGATCTTTTCTGGTGGGCAAATTTAGCTTACGGTAGTCAATACATACACGCCAAATTGTGACTGTACGCATTGAGACTAATTCATTTTCTTTATTTTGTATTACAGTAACACCAAACTTTTTTGAAACTACTTGTGTAGGACTAACCCATTTACTATCAGATATAGGATATATAATATTTGCATCTAATAGTTTAAGTGCTTCATTGCGAACTACCTCTTTCAGGTGTGGTTTTAATCTTCTTCGCATTTGACGAGATGGTTTAGCATTTTCTTCTAAATATATACAATGAGTACATAGAAGTGGGCTTATACCTTTTATATCAGCTATTGTCCATCCCAGAACGCTTTGATGATTTTTCAATACTTCTATTAATTCTTTTTCTTGATTTTCAGATAAATTTCATGCTATGATTAGGGGTGCAACTTGGGTTGGGCAACCCGATTTCAACCCGACCCCAACCCAAAACAATTAGGGCTTGGGCAAGGGTTTTTAATACTTGGGTTGGGCTTGGGTTAAAAAACCCCAACTCGAATTCAATTTGGGTTGGGCTCGGGTTAAGGCCTCGTGAACCCGAGTTCAACCCAAACCTGACAAATTAAAAAAGAAATTATATATATCTATATAATAAAACAGAATGGTATTTGAATCTTATACCTCATATATTTTCCCCCCCTAAAACCATCCCATCCAACCTAACCTAATCTAACCCAACCCAACTTAACCTTCACATACAACACCACCCACTACAACCCAACGGCTCCCTACAAAAAACAAAGGGCAGATGACGAACTGTCCCTGCCCTCTTCACTCTTCCTACAAAAAACACAGAGCAACCTTCATATTTCCCCTCCCTGCCCTCGCGAACTGTCCTTTCTCTTCTATCTCAGGCGGTCACTTCGCCAAATCCTTGGACAAGCAATGGCTCTCTCTTCTTTGTCAAGTGGCGAGTCCCTTTCCAAAATCCATGCCAAAAACCATCCATTTCAAACCTCTTCTCAGCAAACACCCTCCCCCCATCCCTCTTCTGCGCAAACAACATCCACCTCCTTTCTCTATCTCTTTCTCTTTCGCGCATTAGCCACCTGATTTCATGGAATCTATTCATGGCGGGTTGGACTTTGTACATGACGCTTCTTGAGGATCTAGGTATTTTTCTCTCCCTTTGGCCACCCTTTCTCTTTTTTTGCCCCTTTTTCTCTACACAAACACCCATATCCCATATGAAATGTTAGTTGAAATGCTTCCATAAAGAAACAGATTACTTGAATAGCTCACTTGAATAGATTATTTTTGGTATAATTCTTTTTTTTTTTCCTTTTCAAATTTATTAGGCGGTTGATTGAATCAATTGATGAATATAAGGGCGATGATCCCCTCCAACCATGGCTTGAGTGACTTCTTAGTTTCTGCATTTTTTGTTCATTCTTCTTTGTTGCTCTTTAATTAGTGGTTTTCCCATTTTATTTACTCTTGGTAATTGGACACGTGATAGAAAAAGGTCAGTAAAAAATATGTTCTTGCCAAAGCTCTTTCCCTTTAACACTCGGTGTGGGGTCAATAAAGAAATAGGTCTGTCATTTTTCACAATGGAATGGTCTAAGGCACCTGGGTATCTCAATCTCATCACAATGCATAAAAATTGGTATTTTTTATCATTTGGGTTTATGCAGTAATCATATGTAATGATTTTTTTTTGTGTGTAACTTTGGAATTTGAAATATAATGGTTTTGCAGAAAGGAAAGGAAAATGTAAAGGTAAGGGTGTGTTTGTGTCTCTATTTGGAGTTGGGGCACCTAAAGCTCTGGTGATTGGAGTGGTTGCTTTGTTGGTTTTTGGTCCCAAAGGTCTTGCCGAGGTGAGTTGGTTTGCTTCTAACTCAGATTTGCTGAACTTTTTTATGTCACACAGTTGTGAAAATATGGTTGCTGATTCTAATTTGTTTGTAACTCTTGCAACGAAATTAGGAACATTTTTAATATCAGTTTTAAATGGTTTTGAAGATTGAATAGAATATGAGAGATGTCATTGCACATGTCAGTTGGATCCTTGGTTTATGCAGCTAGACTAAATGCACTTCATTTGTAGAAAGTGTCTTCTAATGCTTCATTTTATTATTGACTTAGGTTCTGAGTTGCTATGATCGAAAAAAGGTTCTGAGCTGCTAAAATTGTGCTTAGAATTGAAATCCTAATTTTGAATTAAGAGTGGCAATAAGGAACAAGATTAACAAAGATGTTAATAATTCAAGGACAGAAAGTAGTCTCCCAACACAAGGCTTTGTTTTGTAATGATGGTTGAAACAAAAAAAAAAAAAACAATGTGAGAATGTAATTAGAGAAAGTTGTAATTGGTAATGAGTTCATTCAAGATTTTCTTGACATATGTGTATGTATGTATGTATTCGTGGAGTTGTGTATTACATTGTGGTGGGTGACAGGCAGGGAAGAAGAAGCAGATGCAAAGGAAATCAAAGAGGATAAACTAGTATATATATATAAAGTATTAGCACTGGTTTTTCATTTTTGTTCTGTCATTCTCTGTCTCTCTCGTTCTCTTAGCCTCTCTCGTTAAAAACTTGTTTGAAGTTATTGGTTGTTAATTTAGGTAAATATTATGTAATATATGTATTAGGATTAGAACAACAAGCCTATTTTGGGCTCTACCCGAATTGAACCCGTAAAGTAACCCGAAATCATTAACTCAAATTCAACCTAAGCCCGCCCGAATTAAACTCTGGCAGTGCTCGGGTTGAGTTCCCTAACCCGATGTAGGGTTAGGGTTAGGGTTAGGGTTGAAGATTATATACCTAGGGTTGGGCTAGGGTTGATGTCCAACCCGCCCAACCCACCCGAGTTGCACCCCTAGCTATGATTATAGGATGAATTTTATTTTTTTCCAGAAAAACATATTTCGGATTGGGTGGAAGTGGTTTTAAATCTAGCTTAAAGATTTTAACATTATAGTCTTCAGGTTTAGATAACAGATTTTCACTTTTTGAATTTTCTAGATTTTCTGATTTATTTTTAGATAGANATACAATGAGTACATAGAAGTGGGCTTATACCTTTTATATCAGCTATTGTCCATCCCAGAACGCTTTGATGATTTTTCAATACTTCTATTAATTCTTTTTCTTGATTTTCAGATAAATTTCATGCTATGATTAGGGGTGCAACTTGGGTTGGGCAACCCGATTTCAACCTGACCCCAACCCAAAACAATTAGGGCTTGGGCAAGGGTTTTTAATACTTGGGTTGGGCTTGGGTTAAAAAACCCCAACTCGAATTCAATTTGGGTTGGGCTCGGGTTAAGGCCTCGTGAACCCGAGTTCAACCCAAACCTGACAAATTAAAAAAGAAATTATATATATCTATATAATAAAACAGAATGGTATTTGAATCTTATACCTCATATATTTTCCCCCCCTAAAACCATCCCATCCAACCTAACCTAATCTAACCCAACCCAACTTAACCTTCACATACAACACCACCCACTACAACCCAACGGCTCCCTACAAAAAACAAAGGGCAGATGACGAACTGTCCCTGCCCTCTTCACTCTTCCTACAAAAAACACAGAGCAACCTTCATATTTCCCCTCCCTGCCCTCGCGAACTGTCCTTTCTCTTCTATCTCAGGCGGTCACTTCGCCAAATCCTTGGACAAGCAATGGCTCTCTCTTCTTTGTCAAGTGGCGAGTCCCTTTCCAAAATCCATGCCAAAAACCATCCATTTCAAACCTCTTCTCAGCAAACACCCTCCCCCCATCCCTCTTCTGCGCAAACAACATCCACCTCCTTTCTCTATCTCTTTCTCTTTCGCGCATTAGCCACCTGATTTCATGGAATCTATTCATGGCGGGTTGGACTTTGTACATGACGCTTCTTGAGGATCTAGGTATTTTTCTCTCCCTTTGGCCACCCTTTCTCTTTTTTTGCCCCTTTTTCTCTACACAAACACCCATATCCCATATGAAATGTTAGTTGAAATGCTTCCATAAAGAAACAGATTACTTGAATAGCTCACTTGAATAGATTATTTTTGGTATAATTCTTTTTTTTTTCCTTTTCAAATTTATTAGGCGGTTGATTGAATCAATTGATGAATATAAGGGCGATGATCCCCTCCAACCATGGCTTGAGTGACTTCTTAGTTTCTGCATTTTTTGTTCATTCTTCTTTGTTGCTCTTTAATTAGTGGTTTTCCCATTTTATTTACTCTTGGTAATTGGACACGTGATAGAAAAAGGTCAGTAAAAAATATGTTCTTGCCAAAGCTCTTTCCCTTTAACACTCGGTGTGGGGTCAATAAAGAAATAGGTCTGTCATTTTTCACAATGGAATGGTCTAAGGCACCTGGGTATCTCAATCTCATCACAATGCATAAAAATTGGTATTTTTTATCATTTGGGTTTATGCAGTAATCATATGTAATGATTTTTTTTTGTGTGTAACTTTGGAATTTGAAATATAATGGTTTTGCAGAAAGGAAAGGAAAATGTAAAGGTAAGGGTGTGTTTGTGTCTCTATTTGGAGTTGGGGCACCTAAAGCTCTGGTGATTGGAGTGGTTGCTTTGTTGGTTTTTGGTCCCAAAGGTCTTGCCGAGGTGAGTTGGTTTGCTTCTAACTCAGATTTGCTGAACTTTTTTATGTCACACAGTTGTGAAAATATGGTTGCTGATTCTAATTTGTTTGTAACTCTTGCAACGAAATTAGGAACATTTTTAATATCAGTTTTAAATGGTTTTGAAGATTGAATAGAATATGAGAGATGTCATTGCACATGTCAGTTGGATCCTTGGTTTATGCAGCTAGACTAAATGCACTTCATTTGTAGAAAGTGTCTTCTAATGCTTCATTTTATTATTGACTTAGGTTCTGAGTTGCTATGATCGAAAAAAGGTTCTGAGCTGCTAAAATTGTGCTTAGAATTGAAATCCTAATTTTGAATTAAGAGTGGCAATAAGGAACAAGATTAACAAAGATGTTAATAATTCAAGGACAGAAAGTAGTCTCCCAACACAAGGCTTTGTTTTGTAATGATGGTTGAAACAAAAAAAAAAAAAACAATGTGAGAATGTAATTAGAGAAAGTTGTAATTGGTAATGAGTTCATTCAAGATTTTCTTGACATATGTGTATGTATGTATGTATTCGTGGAGTTGTGTATTACATTGTGGTGGGTGACAGGCAGGGAAGAAGAAGCAGATGCAAAGGAAATCAAAGAGGATAAACTATTATATATATATAAAGTATTAGCACTGGTTTTTCATTTTTGTTCTGTCATTCTCTGTCTCTCTCGTTCTCTTAGCCTCTCTCGTTAAAAACTTGTTTGAAGTTATTGGTTGTTAATTTAGGTAAATATTATGTAATATATGTATTAGGATTAGAACAACAAGCCTATTTTGGGCTCTACCCGAATTGAACCCGTAAAGTAACCCGAAATCATTAACTCAAATTCAACCTAAGCCCGCCCGAATTAAACTCGGGCAGTGCTCGGGTTGAGTTCCCTAACCCGATGTAGGGTTAGGGTTAGGGTTAGGGTTGAAGATTATATACCTAGGGTTGGGCTAGGGTTGATGTCCAACCCGCCCAACCCACCCGAGTTGCACCCCTAGCTATGATTATAGGATGAATTTTATTTTTTTCCAGAAAAACATATTTCGGATTGGGTGGAAGTGGTTTTAAATCTAGCTTAAAGATTTTAACATTATAGTCTTCAGGTTTAGATAACAGATTTTCACTTTTTGAATTTTCTAGATTTTCTGATTTATTTTTAGATAGAAACCTTTTCAAAAAACTTTTGGGTTAATGTCTCAACACAATTTATTTCATGCACTTCATCTTCTTCTCTAGGTTGTTTAGCACTATTGAAAACATTTAATCCCAAGGTCATATTACCAAATGAAAGTTTCATGATTCAATTTCTACAATTAATCAATGCATTTGATGCAGCTAGGAATGGTCGACCTAGAATAAATGGTATATATGCAGATGCATGAAAAATAGGTTGGGTATCTATAACGATAAAATCTGCTGGAAAATATAATTGATCAACTTGGATGGTAACACCTTCCACAATCTCTTGCGGAGTTTTTATTGATATAGTTGGTATTGTTGTTGATTTTGTGGTTATGGTGGACCTTATGTTTGATTTGTAGGATGTGTATTTCTCCAACTAAAATTTGGATGATTTCTCCATCTTGGGTTCT